GATAAATGTTTACACTGGATGTTCTCTGAATAGTGGAAACTACTCTTACCAGCATATCCAAAAAGCTAGATGTGAACTAACTGAATATATGGTAACATGAAAAGCTATTATAAGCCAAACATTAAGTATATCCTAACTCATGAAAATTCACTTTGGTCACTTTGTACCCTTAATCAAATCTTGTCAGATCTCTTTAGCATTTAATAATAAAAGCTTTTTGTAATTTTTAGTTGACATCAATAATAGGTCCTAACTCTAATGGGGAAATCCCCACAAATTAAGAGCCTCTGTTCTTCACTTAGTATAAATAGTTAGATCTAGTTTATGTTACAGATCTGATTAGTAACAAAAATTAACTGATTTTGCCAAAGAGCCCCTAAAACTTGAAAGCACTGCATCTCACTAAATTGGCTTGAATATATTTCTGAGTTAACACATTTGTTTGACGTTTTATCTTAAATCTCCAGAACCCCAGCTGGGAGATGACAGTTAAAGCATGTTTTAAAGTTGTCTGTTATAACATTTCTTCATCTTAAAAGGAGTATATAAAAGATTTTGACTTTAAAATTACTAACATTAATAATGTATGACATATTCAAGCTTTTATTAGAACTCAATCCTTAATGTAAGTGATTTTATTCAGGAAAGTTCAAATATGCTTATTATCATCAATAAAAATTTAACTCAGGATCAGAAATCTAATAGCTTGATGCCAGAAAATCATCATAAAAGCAGAAAAGTACTTTACCTTTAAATCTAACTCAGCTAATTTGCCACTTAAAATTACACCGTCTGCCTGCTCAGAGTAAGAAATATCATTACTTGCAGTGCACATTATTACTACTAAATGCAGATAGTCATTGTGGCTGGTCTTTAATGTGGCAGGTAAATATGACCCAAGTCTGAGAAATGAGTATGAGGATTTGCCTCTCCTTGAGAAAGTGTGTAAAATTGTAGTTACGTTACCCTATTAAAATAAGAAACGCACATTGGAGTTCGCATTGTGTTTCTGTTACAAGTGGAAGAAGTAGGCGTGTGACTTCCATGAAGCACAAGATGTGTAGGAAAATACACGCACAGGGCATGTCAGGAAATGGTGGAGTTCCCGTGCCGCCCTTCCCCTGCAAGGTCATGGGTTTGCCTTCAAATTAGACATGGCGTGGAGCCTGGGTCATGTGGGGACATGGGTCAGGAGGCACAGCATGCTGGAAGCCCTCCTCTTGGGTCACACAGTTGTCACACAGCTGTGCTATAGCTTCAGGTGAAGGCCAGGCAAGAAGAGAGGGACGGATCACCGAGCCCCGGAGCCTGCTTCCACCTAAAGGTGCAGTTTACGTACTGTCCCTCACGCAGAAAGGCCACCTTCGCTGTCGGTGAGTTTCTCCCTTCCCTCTCACCCCTGTGACACCTTGCCCAAGTGGACCACTGCTCCCTCCCCCAGGTCATTCCTGCTGTTTCCCCAGCATCCTCAGCGGTGGGGGGCCCAGCACACTAAATCTTGCTTTGCCAGCATTCCGGGGCTTTCATCCCTCCTGTTCCACAGGACTCTGGCTCTGACCCTCGGGCAGGATCAGAGCAAGGGGAAGAATGGGGAAAAGAAGGCCGAAATGGGGACCCTTTTCTCAGCATCCCAGATGACTTTATCCCATTCTTGCATTTCCTGTCCAGCACCTTCCACGTGTTGTGGCCTGTCTTATCTGCTATTCTGGGGCCTGACCTGTTACTCACGCTGTGTTTCTTATCCCTAATCTTCATTACCTGAACCCCAGACCCACTCCCACCTGGAGACACAGAGGCCTTTTCATTCTCTAGAATTAGAGGAAAGGCTTTTCTCTGCTTGGCTGGGAGGTGAGCGGGTAGGTGGGGGTGGGGGGCTTCTTGATACCCCAGTTAAGAGTCCTGGATGCATTTCCCTAGAAATCATGTTACGAATGATGATGCTTTCCCATAGAAGTCATGCTGCGCACCAGTCTCTCACAGAGCTGTGCTTCTCGACTATTGTGAGTTACGTGGACGTTTATTAGGTGCACCGATCTGTGCCAGTTTACTGGCTGGGTGTGCTGGACTAGTTCCCTGACCTTTTGCAGCCTTAGTTTCCTTACCTGCATAACTGGGGAGAATACCAGCTTCATCACAGGGCTGTCATAAGGGTTTGGATAATGTAGATGTCAGTAAAGACGGGTTGTTCCCTATCCCCAGACAGCTGCCTCTTGAATTTCACTGCACCAGCAGCTACGGATGACATCCCATGGAAGAATGTTTCTCAGGAGCCAAAAGCCTGAAAGGCAAGCTTTCTATTTTGGTGGCCATCTGGCACTGATGGGATCAGAGTCAAGAGTATTTAAAGAGGACTTTGGCCCCCTTTTGGCAAGAAATTATTCTGAGCAGAAAGAAATTCAAAGCCCCAGTGCAATAAATATGAGTAATACTTGTTATTCATAGAGCATTCCCTATGCTTTCTATGAGTTGTCTATACTTAGGTACGTGTTAGGGATTGAATACTACCCCGTTCCCCCCAATGTTGAAGTCCTATCCCCCAGTGCCTCAGAATGTGACTGTTTGGAGAAAGGGGCTTCAAGGGGGGATTAAGTTAAAATGAGGCTGTTCCGGTGGGTACTAACTCAATAGGACTGGTGTCCTTATAAGAAGAGGACATGAGGACAGACACACACACAGGGAAGACCACATGAGGACCAGGAAGAAGACGGCATCTGCAAGCCAAGGAGAGAGTCCTCAAGAGAAACCAGCCCTGCCAACACCTTGACATTGGACTTCTAGCCTCCAGAATTGTGAGGAAATAAATTTCTGTTGTTGAAACCACCCAGTCTGTGGCACTGTGTTCTGGCAGCCCTACCAAAGTAATACAGTGTCGTTGTTGTCCATGGGTAAGCAGGTAAGGAAACTCAAACACAGAGATGTATTAAGTAACTTGACCAGGAGCACACAGCTAATGAGTGGTCGGCTCAGGATCCCCCTAGGACTGAGTTGCCAGTCATTCTGTTTCACCCCCCCAAGAATTGCCTCAAAGACTATTTAGATCACATTAGAGCAAAACGGGTTAATTTTCCATGGTGTTTGCTGTGTAGAGTTCTGTTCCAGTCTTGGACGGTGCCTGGCTTGTCACTGGAATTTGTAGGTTGACATTTAAATTATTTTGTTTTGGAGAAAAGTTGCTAATGTAGCATATTCATAAATCAGGTGTAAAGTGTCTTAACAGTATATTGTGACAGCCAGGGTCTAATGTTGTCTCTTCTGCTGATCTTGTCACCTTTTTCTTTATGTCCTGATGAATATTCTACTGCTCTTCCATGAGTATTTTCTTTGGTAGCTTTTGTGACTCACACATTTGAAAAGGTCTATTAAAATTATTTTTAAATGATATTTCTTGAAATCTTTGTTACCAACAAATGTCACACTCTGCCTGGTCTTTGCTGCTTCAGCCTGCTGACTATTTTAGGACAATTGTAACACCTTCCTGTCTGAGCTCCAGGCACTGCCACCTTGTGGCAGAAGTTTACTGTCATGTCCTGAAGGCCTTCTGGATCAGGAAGTTGTTGAATGATCACAGTGCTTTCTCATTGTGTCCTGGAACTGCCCTGCATTTGCAATTATATGAGAAGATGAATTCTAAGATTTAGAGGTTCATGTTTTCATGTAAAGCGAGTTTAACCCTAAGTAGAAATCTAAATCTTTAACTTGATCTAATATTCTGGTTTACTCTTGTATTTCCCATGCACTTGAGTAAAATGTTGTGCTACAAAAAAACCCAAAAAAACCTCAGCAGAAGCCGTTAGCTTCACTGAATTGGTGCATTCACTTTAAAACTCACATGACTGATCACTTCGCATGCCTCCTGGCGCTGAGCTGGTCACGTGTCAGACCCAGGGCCAGTCTGCTCTGGGGGGCAGCAGTCCAGTTCCACATTTGAGGGTGACCATGGTGCAGCCTTTTAATTCTTCTTGACCTCCTGGCCACTTGGCAGGGTGGTAGAGGCAGAAAGTACTGCAGTTTCTACACCATTAAAATCTCCACGTTGCTTAGGCAGTGGTGGGTGAGCAGCCACCTTCCCTGAAGGCTGAGGAGGAGGAAGCTGTTCTGGTGCGGCCCCAGCTCTGGGGCCAACGCACTTCCCTCTCCTAGATGTTCTGGAATTCCATGCATTTTTACTGGGTGAAAGCATTTTTACCTCAGGGCTTTACAAAGTTCCTTGTGCACCAGGAAGTATTTTTCACATTACAGTTTAGTACATCAGACTGAAGAAACAATATATATCCTAACCGTGTATATTGCACCGGAATTTGCTATTTTGTTTCCTTAAACCCAACACATACATACAGGCTGGCTGCAACCCATTAAATTGATTTTTATGATCCATGGTGGGGTTTGAATCACTGTATAAAAAACTCTGCTTTAGATTTATATATCAGCTAATTTTTTCCAAAAAATTTATCCAAAAAGTTTGCCAGTCTGTTGTGGGAAATTAGTCTGCTGTTTTGAGAGAAAAGAACGGCAAGATCAGGAGAAAGGAGGACTCCGCCTCTGCCGGGAGGGCCGTGCTCGGCCGGCGGGCGGGAGAGGAGCATGGTGGCGGCCTGAGTGAGGCTCAGCGGCGCTCAGAGCTGGAGCGACCGCCGTCCTGCCCAGTGCCAGAGTGCAGAGCACGTGGCGTGTGCGCCTTTGTGCCTCCGCCTCCAGACGGGCGCACGGATTCTCTAAAGATGGGCCATCGTTACAGCAGGAAACTTAACTCTCCGTTGTCCTTGGTATCTTTTGCATCACTGGCACGCTGGCATTTTTTAATGGGTAACAGAGAGATCGATTTTAGGGATTTTCAACTTTTGGTAACTTCACAGCCACACAAAGCAGCTGCCAACATCTGTCCCTCTCTGGTGATGGTAGTGTGTAAGCACAGTCAGCCGGTGCCACCATCCAGGTAGCACGCGCGTGGGCGGTCGCCGCGTGTGCTCACGTGTGCACTGAGCCCTTGTGTGTCTCCACAGGCCTCGGCAAGACGCGCCGGAAGACGAGCGCGCGGGACGCGTCCCCGACGCCCAGCACGGACGCCGAGTACCCCGCCAATGGCAGCGGCGCCGACCGCATCTATGACCTCAACATCCCGGCCTTCGTCAAGTTCGCCTACGTGGCCGAGAGGGAGGACGAGCTGTCGCTGGTGAAGGGCTCGCGCGTCACCGTCATGGAGAAGTGCAGCGACGGCTGGTGGCGGGGCAGCTACAACGGCCAGATCGGCTGGTTCCCCTCCAACTACGTGCTGGAGGAGGCGGACGAGGCGGCCGCCGAGTCCCCGAGCTTCCTGAGCCTCCGGAAGGGCGCGGTGCTGAGCAATGGGCAGGGCGCGCGGGTGCTGCACGTGGTGCAGACGCTGTACCCTTTCAGCTCCGTCACCGAGGAGGAGCTCAACTTCGAGAAGGGGGAGACCATGGAGGTGATCGAGAAGCCTGAGAACGATCCAGAGTGGTGGAAATGCAAAAACGCCCGGGGCCAGGTGGGCCTTGTCCCCAAAAACTACGTGGTGGTGCTCAGTGACGGGCCAGCCCTGTACCCCGCCCACACCCCGCAGATAAGCTACACGGGGCCCTCGGCCAGCGGGCGCTTCGCAGGCAGAGAGTGGTACTACGGCAACGTGACACGCCACCAGGCCGAGTGCGCCCTCAACGAGCGGGGCGTCGAGGGCGACTTCCTCATTAGGGACAGCGAGTCCTCGGTAAGTGTGCGGCTAGCGAGCTCTGCCCCGAGGAAGACAGACGTGTGTGTGGTGGTGTGCAGGGTGCCTCACGTGTAGATACGCTCCAAACCGCGAAAGGATGTGTGCGCGCTCCTGTGAAGCGGCGTGAATATGGCTTAGGGCAAGGTTTGCTGCTCGGCGGCTTGCTTAGGTCTGCTTTGGGTACAGTGAGGGTCTGTTCATGGTGCCACCTATTCTCTTGGAGACCAGAGGTAAGTAAAATGTTATTTACTTTTCCCCTAGGATTCCCCTTTTTCTCTCAAAGACTCAAACAGCCTGTTCTCTCCTGTTTCACGTTCTGTGCCTGTAGAAGGCCCTAGTGATTGGCTTCCTTCTGTCCTCAGCCAGGCTGGTGCCACTTTCTGTTGGTTTGTTTTTCTTTGTAAACGGTGTAATCCCGAGGTCATCTCTGCTGCAGGCAGGGCCACTGAGTTCATCTCTGAAAAGCTTTAAATCAATTGCGAGCTGAATTGAAAAGAAAACAGGGGTTCTTGAGAGAGATGAGTTTGGCAAGTGTGAAATGAATCGGGGTGTAGGACCCCTGCCTTGTGGCAGCAGATCCACATCCAGCAGTGGTCAGACCAGGGTTTGCATGTCGGGTATGGCGGGGCCTGTCTGGAAGAACCCCACCAGCATCACACAGGCAGCCCTTTGTGTGTGCGATATGGAGATGCTCACCAGTTTTGTGGGCATCTTTTCGAATACACCTTCTGTGTAGTGAGACCCCCCAAAACAGGAGTTTTGAAGATAGAGTTCAATGTACATCGATTTTATTTGTCCTAGTAGGCTTCAGTTTCATTTTTTAAATGCAGACCGTAACACTGGTAATTACGTACTATGTATTGTCACTGTTGTCCTCTGAGAAGGGTAATACCACAATAAACAAGTGTGGCATTCAAGATTCCTGTTGATGAAGCTGAGAGGAATTCAAAGCTCTGGTCAGTCCTTTGAGGTAGAAGGGGCCTCATGATGGAGGCAGCCGGACCCCTTTATGGTGTCAGCAGCTTTGGGAGTCAGCCGCGGCCTCAGATCTGTGCTTTGGTGGCACGCTGGCCTGAAAGTTAACCACATCTGAAATCTGAACTCTGTGATTTCCTTATCAAGCCGCCAGAGTTTATCATTTCTGGCAAGACATCACATTAAATTGTTCTCAGGCAACATAAGCTCTGTGCATAGCTTCCTTTAGATCATGTTTACAGCCTTGAGTGAATAAGGACAGCAGCGCTTTGACTCTATTGAGCAAAAACTGAGAGAAAGCACTGGAAAACCAATTACAATAGAAAGTGCTCGGTCCAGAGTGTGTAAGAGAAACGTGTAATTCCATCAGAAAGTATAATCTTGATTTAAAAATTTTGAGTTTGATGGGACTTCTTAGAAGAGAGAGGGGCTGAGGAGACCCCACATGTGGAGACATTAAGCACATCCATTGTTCTGTCTAGGACTTGGGAAAAGAGGAAAGAGGATTGGTGAGAATAATGTCCTCCAGGGTTGCTGGCTTTAGGGAGGACTGTTGCTTTGCTGTGGGACACGTACAGGTGGAAACTGTCACTATCTGAACTTGGGAACCAAAGCCTTTTGGATAGGGTGGGATGCATGCATTATCTGGATTTCACCTCAGGACTTGAAGATACCCCACTGTCTCATTAGTCTAACATTTTTGGAGAATAAGCTAACTTATTCTAAATAATTGAAGCACTAATTGTTTATATTGTCTTTCAATCATTTTTATGGGAGCCTTTCCAGATTTTTCGCATTCTGCCTTAACTGAGAAAACTGAGGAACGTCACGTTCATTGTGCCAGGGCTGGCCTTTGATTCCAGGGGTGTGGGGGCAGAAAGGGCTTCTCTGAGATTTGCATCTGCTCTGCACGTGGAGCAGCACTGTCTTGGTCTGAGGCTCCGTGTGGTGTGATGCTGTGCAGGGCAACCTGTTGTGCTGGGTCTTGCCGTGACACGTGCCATTTCCACCCGTTAGTGTGCATGCCTTGGGCCCCGGGGATGCTGCCAGGGGCTCTAAGGTGTGTTGTTTCTTTTCTGCTGATGGCAGAACGAGGCCAGGTTTACTTCACAAGTAGGTCTGTCTCAACTGTCAAATGTGACTGCTGAGGATCTGTGCTGTTGCACAGTGGGCATGTCCCTTGCTTACTCTTTTTCCACCATTCACCGCCCCCCCCCCCCCCCCCCCCCCCC